AAGACTATATTGCTGTCTGGCTTTTGAGAACGACTTTGAATTTGTTACTAGAGCCAGTATCCGAAATCATCCATTTAGCCTGCTGCGTTCAGTAGACCAGACTGGATGTGCGCTAGTTTTCCTTCTTGGTCAGAGGGGTCAAAGCATGGAACGCCTTCCCGCAGACTTTGTAGAAAACTTCAAAAGAAACCATGACGGATATACGTTCCAAAATGAGCCAGATTGATGAGAGCTATTTTTGGAAATGCCTATTGTGCTCAGGGGCGCAAGCCTTATTCTCTCAATTAGATGCCTTATATTTTTGCGAAAAGCGCTAGCACACATGATTCCTCGATGAAAATTGTCAATGGACCTCGACGTCCCCGCAGTCTGATTAGATTTATAATGAGAGCGGCTTACATAGTGTGCTTCCATATGACTTCCATTGTGTGAATGAAGGTAGGCTATGGGAATATCATGGTTCATGGGGACATGAGGCAAGGAAATGTAATTTGAAGACAATCTCCCAAATTTCCGGGAGTACTTTCTCTGTGTCATGGTTCACCATGCTCGGAAGAAATGAAGAGAATAAAATATTAATCTAATTAGTGTTACGATAAATGCATAGACTTTACTTGAAAATAGGGAGACCAGTTAAAAATCCAAGTTCTACCTGTAGGTTATTCCAAAGAAAGTTATACCCGGAAGCAAAGCATAGGGAGCGTTTAGAAGTGTGGAGATGCCGAAGGAATTATAATCAATGCTGTATTACGTAGGTTGTATGGAAGACTCACAGGGGTAAGGACAGAAATATTGAGGAGGTTTATGCTATTATTAAAGCGAAAAAGTAGACAGCAGCCTGCTTTCAGTCTAATGCAATCTATGCGAATTCTCTGCACAGTTCATTCTATTACGCGTAAATCCAAAGCTTATGTTCATCTCCTTCAATCGGGTCGATTTACTTCCGGTTGCCTACTTAAAGTTTATCGCTTCAGCAAAATTATAAGGCCTTACGTTCGACCCCCATGAAACAATCTTAAAATAACAAATACAGAGGCAGTGGGCAAAATATGGCAAAGAAATATAGAGGGGTTCTCAGAAGGTGATAATGTATAATAAACGCTCTTTATATATTATCGCCTTCCGAGGACCTCTCTATAGTTCTTTGCCGAGATATTTACTCACTGTACATGAACGCTTAAAACGCTCATTCGGGACGCCGCACTAACAGTGTCGGACGTGTGTCCTCGTTTGGCAGTCAAATGAATCCATCCTGTTCTCCCCTCATTCTGTTCAAAACGCATTGCTCTATCTGCTGGCATCCAACATTTTCTCTTCAGATTTGTGACCAGAGCTGATGACCGTCCTACCCTGGTCAGGTTTTCTGACTTAAGTTGCCACTATAGATTTATTTTACTCTGAGGCTGAACTGACATTGCGAAGGTAAGTAATTTGACCAATGTGACGTGTACTTAAGAAATGGCGGGTTCTTTGAGGGAGAGAAAAATAGGTAACAGTTTTACTTTTTTCAAGAACTTTTAAATGATTTTTTAGATGTACACATTTTTTCGCCTTTTATATAGCACTCTTTTTTAAAATCATTTGCTTGCCATAAGCTGGTATTCGGAAATCGTATTTTTTTGAAGTCCAGGCGTTTTATAAAATGCTTAACCATATTTTAACTTGATATATCTCTAAATTGTCGGTACTCTCAGGTGTCTGTAAGTTTTCCGAATAAAAACTCGTTTATTTCAGTGGTTAGATCAGATAAGTGTGAGCAGATTGGACAAATTAGACCTCGATGCGCACTTCTCTGTGTTTTGATTCTTTTTCTGTGCAGTTTCTACGCCTAGTTTATCACTGGAAAGTACAGCATAGATCTTCACCGTCTGCTTTTTATGTTCTTTTGATTTGCATTCTCATAATACTAATGGTAGACGTTCGGTTCAGAAGTCAAGAGCGCATTGAATCTGCCGTCTATCGCAGGGTCTATACGGAGAATTCCTTGTTATTATTTATTTACACTCTCTCAGCCCATCCTTATGAAATTTTATCGGAATAGAACACGCAATAATCTAAGCATATATCCGGAAGTGCCTGGATTTTATCTTGGGCATTCAAGCATTTTCTTTGAAGTTTTGACTGGTTATGATGTGTAATGTAATTTTTTAGTTACTAATTATTCGTTATTTTGTTGCTGATTA